TCTGACACCTGACCTCTGTGGGCACTTGCATTCATGTGCATACATCCTGGCCCCCATAATTAAAACAATACAATTAGATCTTAATAAAAAAAAATACAAGACTGGGGCCCGGGGAGAGGGGCACCAGAGCCTGAGCAGACAGGCAATGAACAGTGGCTAGAGCCTCCGGCTCCCTCTCCACCTTACCTCACTTAGAGGCCTCTCAGGCCAGCCTTTGCTGGTGCCCTGCCCTAGTTCTGCTTTTCTGCAAAGAACAGAAATAAAGAACTCAAGAGCCCCAGAGAACCATGGGTTTCCAAGTGCAGACCTAAGGGAAGGGCACACACACCCAGGCACAGGACACATGCACTCAGAGGCTTCTCCTCACATCTACCTCAGAGTTAGGAGTTCATTCCCCAAAGACAAAATGCTAACTGCTCAGTCTGCAAGACAGAACAGGGACATCTGCTGCAGGGTCCTTTTGAGGCATTCAGGCAAAGGTCATTAGACACAGGCCACTAAGTTCTGTCAGTCTGGTGATCTTCTGCTATTCTGTAGAGGCAGCCTTCACCTGAATCCCCCCCACCCCAAATCCTGAGCTTTGTCTCCCAGTGAACAGACCCCATCCTTATGAAGGAGGTCCTATGTACTTTGCATCCTCCATCAGTAGAATCTATCCTTACGCAAATTACAAATCCTTCTTCCCTAGACCCTTACCCTGAGCACTGTTCATCAGCCAATAGAACTCTGTCTTATTGTAAGGTCACAGGTGCTTTGCTATAAAGATGTACTTTGCAAGAGAGTTTCTATGGAGCCATCCCTGAAGCTCTGCTATGGTAACTGTCACATGGAGATTTCCTCCCAAAGTTTCACTCTGCTTAAATGAGTAAGAAGAATAAACCCTTTGGTCAGACTCAGCACCTGCCCAAGTGGTGCTGACCTGAGTTTCATTCTTCACCTCATGTGGATCATTTCCTCGCCAGCCCTGAGGCCTGCAGGGACAACAATCTCTCTCTGCGTCCTGACTGAGGGTACAAGGTGACATGTGGCCTCACAACCCTGTTGCCACACCCTCTTCACTGCACTGGATTGTGATCTTAAACAAAGCCTTAACTTGCCCTGGGCAGATATTTGTCACCAAGAAGAGAAAGTAAATAATGCAACAAGCTTCCCGTCTCTTCTTTTCGATGTGTGGGATGCACATGTGTGTGTGCGTGAGTATACACACACACACACACACACACACACACACACACACACACACGTATGTGCAAGTGAGTGGGGACCAGAGGTTGATCTGGTATCTTCCTTGATCACTGTCCTCCTCATATATGGAGGCAGTTTCTCACATGAACTCAAGGCTTGATGGTGAGGCTGGTCTAGCTAGCCAAATGCTCCAAAAGTCTCCTGTCTTCCTCCCAAGTGCAGGCTGGGGTTACAGGTGGGCAGCCATGCTCGGCCTGCACTTGTGTGGATGCTAGGAATCTGAGATCTGATCCTTGCACCTGTGCAGCGCGTGCTTTATCCACGGAGCCCCTCCCCCACTCCCACTTTTGAGTCAGGGCCTCACTATGTGCCCTAGAGAGCTTTGAACTCTTAACTACAAGCTGTGTCACCATGCCTGGATATCATTCTCTTAATAAAAGATCCAGGACGGTGAGAGTGGATGGGATAGTGATTCTTTGCTGAGAACTACAATCTTAAAGTTGTCTGCTGAAGACGCCTGACCAAGGGGTACATACTGTAGGAATCCGCTTTCAGAAAGTTCAGAGTCTGACAAAAAGCCTCCTGTGAATTGAGAGTTCACGTGTGTGTGTGTGTGTGTGTGTGTGTGTGTGTGTGTGTGTGTGTGTTCACTTTGAGATTTTCTTTTCTTTTTTCTTTTTTCCTTTTTCCTTCAGAGCTGAGGACCGAACCCAGGGCCTTGCACTTGCTAGGCAAGTGCTCCACCACTGAGCTAAATCCTCAACCCCTGTGTGTTCACTTTGTGAGTGCTTGGATCATACATTTAATGATTTGGGTCATTATCTGTATGTGGTTTATGCATTAATACATTTTTTGAGGAAAAAAAACCACTCTCTTTAAAGAGAAAGCAGCTTTACTTTCTGACTGCTTGCAATGTCTAACCTCTGTGTTGGGCCAGAGACTAAAAAAAAACAAATGAATACAAAATAACAAAATAAAACAAAAACAACAACAAAAACAAAAACAAAAACAAAAAACAAAATCTGCCACCCAAAGAGCCTGTTTTCTCCCATCAAGTGGTTTTTCATGGTTTTGGTTTCATCAGCTATAACATTCAGCTGATTTCAGTTGGGGACTAATCAGGTCTCTCGAAGTCCCTTGACAATATCTGAATGGGGTCAGTTTACCTGTGGACCAGAGTGGGGCACAGCAAGCCATGGCCTCCCAGGTCCCCCTTAGAGGACAGCAGAGAAGTCAAGGAATGTTCTCCACTACACAGTGGTGTTCCGGAGATGTTGGGGGTGGGGCGAGGCTTTCCAGGCATCTCACTCCACAGGCGCAGATTAATAAGCACTCTCCTTGGGGCACTGAGAAAATGAGCCGGAACCTTACAGGTCATTCTTTACAAGCAAAATACACAAAGGGACTTAACTAGCACCTCTCCAACAGGAAACCATTTGTCTCTAGAGTATGGAAGAGGAGAAAGAGGGGAGGGGGCAAGTGGGGGGAGAGGAGGAGGAGGAGAGGAGGAAGGGAAGGGAAGGAGGGAGGAGGGGAGGGAGGAGGGAAGGAAGGATGCTGAGCCCGCCACCAGGCCCAGCTCTGGGGAGATAATGCTCCCTAATCACAACACAGTTGCACAAATAGAGTCCCCTTCTCTTGAGAAACAAGCAAACAAAAAACCCCAAACGTTTGTTAAATGGGGACTGAACAACTCTGATTAATTTTAAAGTTCTTTTTCCACTTTCCTTTTTAGAATGTAGCTAAAAATAAAGGCTTAAAGGCTTAAAACTTGAAATAAGTAACCAACACACACACACACACACACACACACACACACACACACACACACACACACACGGCTTTTACCATATACGGTGGCCTTATTCTTCAGCCTTTGAAAAGGCCAGATGAAGAGATGGCCAACAACCAAAATAACCCTTCAGACAACTGCAGAGGAGGGAAGCTGGAAGGCTTAGTGAATGGCAGGCAACTGCCAGGCCCGCTCACGGGGATGAATGCCCATGGAGCGGTGAGTTGCCATAGCACTTGGGAAACACAGGCACATGCATCTGACACAGCCACCCCTCCAGGGAGGGTGTTCTGCCCCCTGGCCTCAGCATGGAGAAAGCAGCAGAGGCTGCGATTTAACTTCAAGGGAGGAACCAGTGCAGGGCACAACTGAAAATTTAGTGAAGACCCTCCTCAGCATGAAATTGCTAAGAGAGATGAGGCCCGGGCTCCAGGGCAGGAAGACCCGGAGAAGATGTGAAGGAGAGCAGCCCAGGTCAGCCCAGAAGCCAGCAGGCCTGTGTGTGGTGGGGGAGGACTGGCTACTGTATCACCAGGCTCTGCTATGAATGTGTCTGTGGCAAAAGACGAACACGTTCAGGTCACACAAATGCCACGCTTGGGAGCACTGAGCGGAAGCCACCTTTCCTGGGGTTCTATGGTTTCCAGAGTCGAGGCAAAGGTACTCCTGGACCCTTGCTAAGGCACCTACTTTCCTGACATGAACAGGTTGGAGACAGGAGGTGGTGCAGACCAGACAGATGGAGCAGAGCGGGAGGCTGAGGTACCACCATGCAGGCCCCGGCTCTCCACCCACAGAAGCCTTGAGAGAGCACCAGTCACGGGCAGAGTCCGGGTGGACTTGGAGCGCAGCTTCTCTAACTCTCCAGGGTGGTGTCCAGCTCTTCCTCCTGCTGACTCACTCACACTGGAAAGCGCCAGGCACAGGAGCTGGGCTACTACTCAGGACACATGTTTGGTATGCACGAGGCCCTAGAGTTTCACCCCAGAACTAAACAAACACATTTAACTTGTCAGGCAGAATCTGCACTGAAGGGACACATCACAGTTATGAAGTGGAATGCATGGGACTGTAGAGAACATCTCCCCAAATGTCACGCTCAAACTGTTCTCATGCCCCCAAAGGCAGCATGCAGACCATGAGACACAGGACCTGCGGGCCTCATCCCACAGTGTCTTCTTCCTTTTCAGCCCCAGGCATGGATCCTGCAGGTTGTGTTCTGCAAAGGCCCTGCTTCTGGGTGACATGGCTAACAGTCTGCCCATGCTTGCTCAGAAAGGCTTCCTGCCCAGGCAGGGTACTGGGCACTGAGGACTAGCCAGCTACTCTACATCCGCTGGGCTGGCACCCATTAGCCTGGCCTCTGTGACTACCAGGGAGCTTAGTGTGGTTTGTAGACAGGAAAACAAGGCCCTGAGAAGTTTTGAGACTG